AAAAAAAAAAAAAAAAAAAAAAAAAAAGAAATCTACTTGATGTGCCAGCCCAGCAATTGCAGCAGCCGGTTGAGTTTGGTTGGTGGAAGAAGCAGGACTTAGATTGTCAGGCTCTTGAGTTACAGAGCTGGGAAGGTATCAGAATAGAAAGGAACAGGGAATAGCCTCGTCTGTGCTATCTGGACTATTCTTGACTACTAATAAGAAAGCACAGAAGGCATCTACCTGCAAGGAAGTCAACACCCTTCAGAGCTGGACTGTCCGGGTCCCTGATTTTACCATCTTTCACCTGGGAAAGCTAATCTTTGGAGGCAAATGTGAATATTATGGAGTTAACTTTCTCACATTCCCTTCCTTGGGTTCAGTGGGAAAACAGGAAGCAACAGACAGGTGCAGAAGGCTGTGGTGCCCAATTTTAAAAAAAGGAGGGGCTTGTATTATCTACATACTAAATCTCTCTGTTCAAAAGTCTTGCTATCCCTTTGCAAACCATTTTTCTTGCTATGCCTTTTTGGAATCTGGAAGAGACATGAAATTTAAAATTGCACAGTATGACCAAGAAAAAAAAATCTACCCAGATCACAAGAAGGCCATGAGCAATGAAATGATGTTGATAATGGAACTGAGTTGTTTCCTCCAGTGGCCGGGTCCCAAGGTGACGGCCACCAACCTGATGGTGCTCACCAAACTTACACCAGTTTTTCCACTTCACTGTCCTATTTCTATTCATAGTACAATTCTTCCTGTTATCCAAGTTCAGAATCCTGGTTGGGGCCTCTGATGGCCTCTTTCCCATCCATACCTCTCAGCTTCCCCCTATCATGTCATTTTCAGGCCCTACACATTTTCTCTCTGAAATTAATCTAACGCCTAACTTCCTTACCTTCCCATTCTTGTCAACACTGTGACTGGGACTTTTCTCTTGCACTTACCAACACGTTCCCCCAAACCTCCCATCTGATCCCCTCCCTCTAGTACCTCCTTGTTCCTTTCATCCTATATAAGGGAGCCAGATACACCTCCCTAAAACACATTTCCGACTTTGTCATTACTTGGCTCAAAAACTTTCAATGTCTGCTCCATGACTTCTTCTTTTTTCTTTTTTTTTCTTTTTAAAATTTTAATACAGTTCAGATCAGCCAGCATGTCAGGTTCATTTTGGCTCCTTCACTGCCAAACCTGGGGGCAGGGACTGCTGCAGTTTCTCTGCCTTCTCTTTGTCTGTGATGACCAAAGTGTAAAGGTATCTGCTGCATCGAGCTTTAAACTTCACATTTTCCTTATTTTTCTTGATCTTGACAGATTTGGCGTCCTCTCACCTGGCTGTGAGTAGGAAGTCCTTGATTTCCTCCATTTTGCGAGGCACCGCTACGAGGCGAAGAGAACGCGCAGCCAGCACCTTCTGAGAGACACTCACAGCAAGCAGCCTGCTCCGTGACTTCTGAATCAAGTTCATTTTCCACAGGCAAACTTCCCAAAGTCCTATTTTTTAATTGAGGTAAAATTCATAGAACATAAAATTCATAATTTTAACCATTTTAAAGGGTACAATTCAGTGGCATTTAGTACATGCACAATGTTGTGCGACCATCCCCTCTATCTAGTTCCAGAGCATTTTTGTCATGCTGTAAGTAGCATGTATCAGTACTTCATTCCTTTCTATAGCGGAATAATATTCAATTGTATGGACGTACCATGCTTTGTTCATCCACTCATCAGCTGACGGACATGTTGTTTCCACTTTTTGACTCCTGTAAATATTGCTGATCTGAACATTCATGTACATGTTTTTGTTTGGACTGAGGTCTTTACATTTAGTCATTTATGTACCATTTCATATGAATTCTTCATCTCTCCCTATACTGCCCATGTTTTGCACATTCTATCCAAATGATGACACTTTTTTCCTTTGAATACACTGCACTCTTGTCCATCTGCATCCCATTTTCGTGGCTTCCATTGTCTAGGAAGCCCCTCCTTTCCATCTTTCCTGGCAAGATCTTCTTTTTCAAGGACTATCTCAGAAGCACCTACTTCACAAACCCTTCCTTGTCTTTCCCAACTCGGAATGCACTCTTTCCTCTGAGCTCCCCAAATAGCATCACTTATAGTATCTCTTATATTTGTGTTTCCCTAATCCCCTCTTTACGAGGTCACAGACAACCTTTAGGCACTTTACTGTGGTAGCTCCTGTAGTGAAGCACTTTATTTCCTTTAGTAAAACAGAAAACCTTAAGAAACATTTTAACTTAAGTGATATCTAGAACCATTCCATAGCCTTTGTGGTTTCATACACAGTCCTTTCAAGTGCCCATCCTGTACACCTTCTATGGTATATAGGTAGGAGGAAGCTGACAATATTATTCCTTTTGAAACAACTCAAAATAAGTTAAATAATTAGAAGAATATCATGTGGCATTGATGAGGACTCTCTGAATGTGCATTTTCTCTTTTGTTTATGAATATATACGTGTTATGTTCATGCACACCAGCCTTGCCTTACAATCTTTGTTCCAATTTTTGAATAAGAATAGTAGGATGTCTAGGGAAGAGTTATAGCTTAGCATTGGAAATATGTAGTTCACTTAAGGTATTTTATGGCTGGTTATGACAGTGTCAGAATGTCACATGTCTAAGTGACATTTCAGTACTATCAGAAATAACCAAGAAAAAATATAATCATAATTCTTATTTCTTCAGGTGACTTATAATGGCAGCAGAAAACTGGAAGGATCATTAAAAATAAAGCTTGCTGACCTGCAATAGCCCCTGGACTCCCTGAGAGAGTCAGAGCTCTGTGGTTCTCTGAAAGATTCTACTTTCTTTTATTAGGAATCAAAATGATAACTGAGTAATGACTTCACCTCCCTAGGGTGAATCACCTATTCACTATCAGTATTTTTACCTGATCATTATTTTTCAGCAGCTAAAATTTTAAATGTAAAATGAAGGTAGGGAGGAATCTGTAGAATTTAGTATGGACACATTGCCCAACAAATCTTTTTCAGCTGTTTCAGGTGTGGCCTGGTGCCCTAAATTGCCTCTTGTGAAAGGGTGTGTGTGTGTGTGTGTGTGTGTGTGTGTGTGTGTGCCTTTATGGGTATGATGGAAGAAGGCTATCTAATCCTAAGATTTTGGGGGGAGAAGGGGAGTTGGAGAGGAGGTTCCAGGGCCCGATATGAAAAATTGCACAGGTGCTCGCCTTCCTGGATTCACAATGATGTTGAACAGGCAGGAAGAATATGTCATCTCTTCCTCCTTTCCTTGTCTAGTCATTAATTCTCACTTTCCCCAAGCAGGAAATCAAAGGGTAGATGGGACACAAACCTGTCTGAGCAGAGCAGGGAAGTAATTTCACATGTGATAATAAGAAGTCATAGGTGACTTCTATCATTGAGAGCAAGACTTTTCTATTTTTCAGTGTGAAAACTAGTATTAAGTTTCTCATAGAGATAAGTATTTTTCCTGTGATGCATCTGTTGCCTAAGAGACCTATTTGAGAGCTGAAAAGGACCTTAGAAAAGACCTAGTTTAAATGCCATCGTTTTACAGAAAATAATAAAAGGACGTGAAAGAATGTGATTAAGGTTATACAGATGCTAGCAGAGCCCAAACTAGAATCCAGGTTTTCCAAATCCTGGTCCTCTGGGCCATTTCTACTATTCCAACGTAACTCCTCTTTCTGTTTAATAAAACAAGGCTGCCACCAAATAGCTCACCCTGCAAAGACCACACCACACCTATTTTTTGACAAATATTAATTGGATGACTACTCCAAGTAAGTCACTATGGCAGGTACTATGGGTAATTCAAAGGTGAATTGGCTATTGTCCTTAAGGATCTTGCAATAAAATTTAAAACGTGGGGAAGGAAAAGACCGCAAAAATGCACAGGAGGTAAACACCACACAAAAATTGGAAAAAGAACACTAGAAAGAACTAATTTCCGGATTAATAAGCAACTGCCTTGAGATTTAGGACAGAATGTCCCATAACTCATTCACACGACAAGATGATTATCTTACCGAGTTTTATGTAAACATGAATATTATAATTTAGAAGGTTAAAATACACTTCAAGGTGGGAGTCTTTAATCTGAAGAAGGCTGCTCCCTGCATGACAGAAACTAACGTTTCTTATTTGTGCCAGAGAAATTCATCTTCTCGTCGTCAGCGACCCTGTTCATGGCTCAGACATGTAGATATAAGGAGAATGGCCTGAAGTCAGTGGCTGAGCACAGGCTATTTGGAAAGGATGTCTCTCTGAATCTAAATCAAGTTGGAGATAATGATTTGGGAATATTTCACCAGCTGTTTAGGAAATCCTGGACTCTCATGTTGTCTACATTTACAATTTTGTATGCTTGCAAAGAAACTAAGAGTTCAATATGTCCCTTTTCTGTGAAGCTTCTTTGAAATGCATATCTATGTTACTTTTATATGTATATATACATATGTGACTAGCCAAGGGAGGGTTGGTAGCTCTCATTGAACATATTTAGCTGGATCTTTTCAACCAAAATGTAAATCTGCAATGTATTCTAATGTAACCCAATTAGAGCTACTAACACCATCTGCATATATATTTTCAATTCAGCTGTCAAAAAACACACAAATCCACCCTAGTAATACAATATTCAATAGTTGTGTGGTATTTCATTGTTTGATACTTCATTTAACCTTTCCTATATTTAAATAGATCAATTTTCATTTTCTTCCCTTTAGAATGAATATTTTACTACGTATTTTAATATGTAAGCCTCTCTGATATTTTTCTTGGGATACATTATTAGAAGTAAAATTAATATAGGAAAGTATATAAATTTTTAAATGGAAAGTTTTAAAATAAAACCAAATATATGTATAGTATTTAAAAAGTCAAATAATACAAGACTTCTAACAAAGCAACTTACTGCTCTCCAGGCCCTGTCTGTCCTGTGTCCCTCTTTAGCTGTTTCTTCTGTTGTTTATCTTCAAACGTTGTTCTTACTTGATTTTAAAATTTTAGACATTATCTATTGATCTTACCATGAAAGGAATAATTACATTTCTTACACGACCAAACACATTCTTTTTTCCTATCCTCCTTGCATTGATTATACTTTTTGGTTTAAATCAATATTTGATATTTACATTTTATGCTTTATATAAATATTATTTTCTAAGCCATGTAAAGTATTGATTACATTTTCTTTCTTATACATTTAAAATTTTTTCACTATAGCTAATAACAGTCTCATTTTATCCCATATGTTTAGTGTGGGTGTTCTATTTATTTATTTATTTATTTATTTATTTAAGTATTTATTTTTCAGTTACAGTTGACATTCAACATTATTTTATATTAGTTTCAGGTGTACAGCATTATGGTTAGATAACTATAGAATTTAAGAAGTGATCCTCCTGACTAGTCTAGTACTCATCTGGCACTCACTATGCAGTTATTACCATATTATTGACTATATTCCCTATGCTTTGCTTTACATCCTCATGACTATTTTGTAACTACCAATGTGTGCTTCTTAATCCCTCAGCCTTTTTCATTCAGCTTCCCAACCTCTGCTCCTCCGCCCCCCGACCCTGCCCGCAACCATCAGTTTGTTCTCTGTATCTATGAGTCTGTTTCCGTTTTGTTTGTTCATTTATTCTGTTCTTTAGATTTCACATATTAAGTGAAATTATATGGTATTTGTCCTTCTCAGTCTGACTTATTTCACTTAGCATAGTACTCTCTAGGTCCATCCATGCTGTTGCATACTGTGGCTGCTTTAAGACGTGGGTCCCAAATTCTTTGAAACTCTTCCCATTGATTGGTGAGGTCTACAGCCCCTCCTGATTTTGGGTGGGCTGTGACTACTTTGACAGGAGACCTTGGAAATGGCTGTGAGACTTCAGAGGCTGGTCATAAAAGAAGATGTAGCCTCTGCCTTGTTGGTTGGAGTTCTCACCTGGCAAGTAAGAAGCCCGACTATCCACGGCAGCCATGCTGTGAGGAAGCCAAGCTAAATGGAGGGCACGTGTGAGCACGCCGGTTGGTCCGCAGCCTGGTTTTCTTGACACCCCAGCCCAGATGCCAGGTGGGAGTGGAGCCTCCAGATGATTCTAGTGCTCAGCATGACTGAGTCACCTCCAGCCACTGGGTCTTTCCAGCTGAGGCCCCAGAAATCATGCAGCAGTCATCCCCTCTGTGTGCTGTCCAAATTCCTGACCCATGGACTCCATTTGAAGCAGCTAAGTTTGGGGGGTAATTTGTTTTACAGTACTAGTAACAGGAACACTTAGTTTTCTATGTGCCCATCATAAATTTGTCCCTAAATTATCAATGTGGTCAAGTACATTAAGTGATCATCAGTACCATTTTGTTCCTTGGAGATATTTCCCTTGGGGATCTCTGTCCTCTTATCCCAATCTAGACTGGATGCATAGCCACCAGCCTAGGACTTGCTTGGATGACAAACAGGTAGCATGTGACTTAATGACGTGGGCCCCACAGCTGGGCTGCCTGGGTTTGAATCCTGGCTCCACCACTTGCTAGCTGTGTGATATGCACAGGTTAGTTAATCTCTCTGTGCCTCAGGTTTCTCAGTAGAATAGTGCTTGGCGCACAGAAGTGCTCTTACTGTTGGCATTACTGTTGTTGTTTATTATTCTTCCCTTCATGTTGTCCTAGAAATTCCCATTGCCTCACACCTGTGTCAGATCCCCCAGTCCCTAAACTCCATGTCTTTCTCTTTCTTGCTTACTCTCTTGCCTTGATAGAATACATCACCTGCTCCTTGAAATAAGATGCTTGGAAGGTCAGTTTTTTGAGGCCTTATTTATCTGTTTCAAATTGTCTTTATTTAACATCACACTTGATAATATGACTGGCATAAAATTCTAAGGTGGAAACAATTTGCTCTTTGAATGTTGAGGTAAACTCCATTGTTGTGAAGCTTTCTTTTTTTAAGAGAGTGACCCTAGTTTTAATGTTTTTTTATTTATTTATTTATTATTATTATTATTATTATTATTATTATATTATTTAAGATTTAATTGGGGAATTGGGGAAGGGGAACAGCCAAGTTGTTGTCCTTCAATCTTAGTTGTGGAGGGTGCAGGTAGCTCAGCTCCAAGTCCAGTCGCCATCCAGCCGACCGTCAGCAGCTTGCGGCCACTTAGCTCAAGGTGCCGTGTTCAGTTTTAGTTACGGGTGGGTGTTGCCCACCATCCCATGCGGGAGTCGAACCAGCAACCTTGTTGTTAGGAGCACGTGCTCTCAAGAGCTGAGCCATCCTGCCACCTATTGGCAGCTCAGTGGCAGCTCAGCTTGGGTGCAGCTCACTGGCCCATGGGGGAATCAAATCAGTGACCCTGTTGCTCAGAGCTCGCACTCTTAAGCAACTGAGCCACTTGACCGGCCCTTGTGAAGCTTTCAGTGTCACTGCTAAGGTCATTCTGATTCTTCATCCTTTGCTGGTAGGGTTTTCTTTTTCTTTCTAGAAGTATTAGGATCTCTTCTTTATCTCCATTGTTTCAAAATTTGATAATGAGGTGATTTGGTGTGGGTCTTTTTAAATTCATTATTTAGGGCAACATTTTAATTTGGACACACGGGTCCTTCAATTCTTAGAGATTTTATTTTCTTTTAAAAAATTCATTGTTAATTTTTTTTTCCAAAGATTTTATTGGGGAATTGGGGAAGGGGAACAGTGTTGGGGAATTAGGGAAGAAAACCAGCCAAGTTGTTGTTCTTCAATCTTCATTGTGGAGGGCTCCAGTCATCATCTGGCTTCCTATCGGCAGCTCGTGGCCTCTGAGCTCAAGGTGCTGTGTTCAATCTTAGTTGCGGGTGGGCACAGCCACCATTCTATGCGAGAGTCGAACCCGGCAGCCTTGTTGTTAAGAGTGTACGCTCTATCCACTGAGCCATCTGGGAGGCAGCTCAGCTCAAAGTGCCGAGTTCAGTCTTAGTTGTGGGTGGGCATAGTCCACCACTGAACAGCTAATCTTGTTGTTACACCAGTTGAGCCATCCTGCCCCTTGTTGGCAGCTCAGCAATAGCTCAGCTCAGGTGCAGTTCACTGGCCCATGTGGGAATTGAACTGGCGGCCCTGTTGCTCAGAGCTCATGCTCTTAAGCCAATTCAACCAACTGAGCCACTCGGCAGGTCCCTCATTGTTAATTTTTTAACCTCCATTTTCAGTTTTCCCTTTCTGGGATTCATAACTGATACAGGATCTTTTGAACTGGTCCTCTAATTTTCTTATCTTTTTTCTTCAATTATCTTTTCATTCAAATTTCTAAGATATTTTCTCACTTATATCTTCCATTCTTCTCATTAAAAAAATCCTGTTTTCATATTTTATAATTATGATTATTTATTCTTGAATTGTCCTTTTTTTTTTTTAGCTCAGTGTCAGCTCAGCTCGGGCCGGACTCAAACTGCTGTTGCTCAGAGCTCAAACCTTTGAGCGAGCTCTTAACCAACTGAGCCACTCAGCCGGCCCTTGAATTGTCCTTTTTTATACAATCACCTGCTCTTATTTCATGAATTTAATATCTCACTGAGTATATTGATTATAGTGCTTTTGAAAATGCGTCTTTCTTTTCTTTTACTGTCTGTTTCCTCTAAGATCCCTCTTTTTCTCAGTCTTCTACAGCAGAAGCTTTTAACTCATTCTTCTACAGCAGAAGGTTTTCTCAAATGCCCAGTGGTGCTCTATTACCTATCCTATTTCTGTTGGATATTTGGTGTACTTGGATACTCTCATGCTTGTCAGCTGGTAGACCTCACTGTACGAGGGCTGATCAGGGCCATGTTATGTTTACTAAGGGAGCCCCGACATCCACGTCTGCTGGTCTTTTTGCCTGGGTTTGACAGTTTCCCCCAAAACGAATCCTCCCGTTTTCTACTTGGTGAATACGAGGGACTTTCAGTGGCCAGCATTTAAAGAAGAGGAGTGGGAGTGGGAAAAGCTTATCTTTCTGAATGCAGATATCACTTAGGTTCTCCCTGCTTTAAATATGGTCACTACCCCCACCTTCAGCTATGCCTGGTTCCCCATGTCAAGTCTGAGATTAACCCAATCAGTTAGAACCCATGAAGTTAAATAAATTCCATGAAGCTTTGGGTAGAAGGGCACGTGAACTTTTGTACCAGAGTTTTTGGATTAAAAGGAAATAAAAAATGTTCCCTCTCATCTTCTACAACTTCCCTCCCTCCCCAAAAGTGGGAAATTAGCCAATTTAAGCCCCTGTTTTCCTCCCCTTAATCATAAGTTTTTGCCTATGATAATGCCTCAGAACGTGAGTATTCAGGGTCCAAGTTTGTTTTAAAATAACCCAATGAGCTGACAGACGGAGCTCCTGGAATTCTGCAGCTTGTGTTAGAGTCTACAGATGGGAAATTGCCATCAGTTAAAGAGTGGTGCTATTACTATAGCCCAAATTTTGAAAGGCTTTAGGAAAAAAAAAAATCATCTGAGTTAATTAGCATTTACCACAAGCACTAGTTTTGTGTTGCAGTATTCTAAGAACTCAGATAATAAGAAATTGCAGTTTCTAACTTTTAACTAAGATTTTTACCTCTTAAAAATGTAGATTGTAAGGTAAAAATTTTACCTGTTATATGAATGAACTCTTATTGGTTGATGTCTTAGATCAGCGTAAAATATGAATTATGTTCTAAAATCAACTAATAATACTGGTACATAAAATAGGAGTAATTTCATTTTACCTCTCTGATCTGCTTAATCCATAGATCTCTTCCAAGAAACTCCTGATGTAAGACCACAGGAGCTGAGTTTAGATTAAAAATCGTGGAGTCACTGGTCTTTTCTTTAATAAAAGGCTGGAGATCAGAATTTATCTAGAAGAAGTAGTCAAAAGAGTTAAATCAGTGAAATGCACTAGTATGTTTTAATCATGTACAGAAAGCATTAGATAATAAAATGAAAAATAAAGCTTAAGGAATGCAGTTTTTAGATGTACTTTAAGAAGTCAAAGAACAGTTCATATGATGAACAATAATCTTAAAAATTCTTTAAAATTCTTTTTCCCTAACACATTCCTTTTTTATTTGGCAGCATCCTTTGTTTCACTTTAAGTTCAAGGTAAAGATTTACAAAAAGATTTAATAAGTATAATTGCTTAACAAACTAATCTAAGATTTAATAAAATGTTAAAAATTACCTAGAGATATTACACATATATGTAAATATTTTCCCCCTCTTATGAGTTATTTAAGTAACATCTAAGAAATATATATTACATGTAGTTTTAAAATTACATATTCACAGAGGCAACAATATAAGAGCTAATCTCAGGACATTTTATATGTCATTATGCCTATTCAAAAGAATCAGTTATTAGAATTAAAGCTTTCAAGTTTATTCAGTATATTTCTAAATTTTGCTAACTTTCCACAATTTGTTTTACTATAGGGGAACTGTAACAAATATTCTTCCATGTGAATGGCAATACTAAGTGTTATTTAATAATCACGCGAGTTCTTTCAAGAACCTTTCCAAGCGGTAAGAAAAGACAAACATCACGAATGTGATTTAAATAAGCTGTAGCGTTCTATCAAAATTACACAGCACTCACCAGTCATACTGTTTATATGATATAACCGAATATGACTGATAGATTTTAAGCACACAATAAACATTTTTTTGAGATATAAAAGCAGCTTATTAACTGGCAAAAGGTTTCTGGTGTATCATTTGAGCTATTTAATACTGAAAAAGAGAAAGGGTGTGAAATACCTTATGACTCATGGCCATGTGCTTCCCGTACTGAAATGCCATGTCCTGAACCTCAGCGTCATGCTTTGCTAATTCCATTGCAGCCTGGCAGCTCTTTGCTAATAAGGCTCCATGGGAGAGAAAGGTCTGCTCCTTCCAAGTCGATATTCCAATGTCACTTGTGATATAATCTTCCTAAAAAATGTGACAAAAGCCAAGATAAAAAAGGTGTTGAGAGTAATTAAATTGTTTCGGTTTTTAAAAATGAAGAGTTAAGATATGAACTATGCGAAACGCTGAGGCTATCACAACAAAATGGAACTAAGAGTTGCTGAACTTCAGCTCTACTGAAAGAGGACTAAGGGGGGGGGGAATTGCTTTTTTTTTAGCTGAGCCATCCTACCACGTGTTGGCAGCTCAGCGGCAGCTCAGCTTGGGCCAGGACTCGAAACGCTGTTGCTCAGAGCTCAAACACTTGAGCAAGCTCTTGAACCCTGAGCTACTTGGCCGGCACTTTTTTTTTTTTTTCTTGAGGGAATAGGGGAAAAAAATGAAGAAAATGTTGAAGCAAATTTTATATTCAGCTGGGGAACTTCTATTAAAATATATTTATAGAATAAGGCAAAATCAGTAACTTGGACCTCTAAACTAACTCCCTTCTATATTCACATCAGTTCTTAAGTGCTAGTATTCTAAAATACAAGAATTCTATTGCCTTTAACTTCTGTGAAAATGTTAAGGGCATAGTGAAGGAAATGCATTCTCTTATAAACAATTAAATAGAAAATCAGAGAGAAGGCAACCCAGTATAATGGAGTATGATTATATTACATTATTCATCAAACTTTATTCTCACAAAAAACAGGTCATAAGGGAGGATATATAGCTGCAGTTTATTTAATTTCATCTTTTTAAATTATGAAAATCATTGAATTATCTGTGAGTACACACATACCTACTGTCTTTAGACCAGTGATGTCCAATAAAAATATAATGTGGCTGGCCAAGTGGTGTGTTGGTTAAGAGATGGCTTGGGACACCAGCTTTGAGCAGCAGAACCCCGGTTCAGATCCCACATTAGGGCCAGTGACGCTGTGCCCTCTACAGCTAAGATGGTGAGCAACAGCTCAACCTGGAGCTGGGCTGCTGTGAGTTGCCGGCACCAGTGTAGGCTGCAGCCTCTGCTGCAGTGGGCTGCTGTAAAGCTACCGTGAGTGGCTGGCAGCCAGCGTGAGTGGCCACCAGCCTCCGTGAGCGGCCATCCAGTGGCCGGCAACTGATCTGCCTCAACCGGGAAGAACACAATGAGAATACCAACATGGGTCAGTGAAGTGACATCCTCCACAACTACACTGAAGAACAAAAGGACAGCAACTTGTCTGTTCCCCTTTCCCTGACTCCCCAGTGCTGTTCCTCTCCCCCAATTCCCCAATAAAATCTTAAAAAAAAGTAATGTAAGCCATATATGCAATTTAAAATTTGCTATAGCTACATTAGAAAGTGAAAAAAGTTGAAATTAATCTTAATGCCATATTTTATCGATCCCAATATATCCAAAATAGTATTTCAACATAAAATAAATATAAAATTATTAATGAGATATTTTACATTTTATACTAAGTTTTCTAAATCAGTGTGTATTTTACACTGACCATGTTTCGAGTACTCAATAGACACAGGAGGTAGTAGCTACCCTTCTGGACAGCTCTGTTCCAGGCAGCGAGCTTTCTGAGGACAAGAATGATGAAGCAAATATGTAAAACAATATTCATTTTATGGTGTTTCTTTGAAACCTCAAACTCATTAGAAAAACCACTGAGAAGGATTAATTAACCCAAATACTAATTTACTTCTTGCCACCTATATCATAATCCTTTTCTTTCCACCACTATTTGAGGACAAAATAAAAACAATAATAAGAAAACTTAAAAAAGCACCATTAAAAGGTCAGCTCAGATTTAGCCCACCTTTTCACCATGCTGAAGGGAATCTTCACATCAAATTCTCAGCTTAACTTTATTAAGCCTTTCAACAAAAACAGAATTCCACTCATAACAACAGTTGCAAATATGCAACAGCATTGTGTAATAATAAAAAAAAGCTACATGGGTGCATAAAAAAGCTACACAGTGCAAAAAATGAAGACCTGCTTTACAAAACATTAGGCATCAATAAAAACATTTTAGAAATCTGAGAGTGTGTCTTAAAATGTACAAATTTAATATATTACATTAATAAACCTAAGATAAAAACCATATTACTTCTCCATATATAAAGAGGCATTTGACAAAATTCAACTCTTGATGGAAAAAAAAAATGCCGAATAAGAACAGATGTGCACTTCTTTAATATGACACATGTGTGTGTGCCCACGCATGCACATGCATGCCAAAAAGTCAGCAAATACTTTAGGGAAACACATGAGCCTTTCTTCCTAAAATCAGGAGTAAGACAGAGATGCATACAACACCACTGCAATTTAACAATGGAATAGAAGAGGCAAGAAAAGGGCAGATGTAGGAAAAATAGAAAGAGTTTAACTATCACTACTTAAAGCCAATGTAACTATATTGGAAAAAAACAAGAGACCACTACAAATAAGAAGATAATTCAGGGCGGCCAGATGGCTCAGCTAGGGAGAGCACATGCTCTTAACAACAAGGTTGCCAGTTCGACTCCCGCATGGGATGGTGGGCTACACCCTCCGCAACTAGAGTGAAAAACGGTGCCGGGACTTGGAGCTCAGCTGCGTCCTCCACCACTAGATTGAAGGATGACAGCTTGACTTGGAGCTGATAGGTCCTGGGAAAGAACACACTGTTCCCCAATAAAGTTAAAAAACAACAACAACATAATTCAGTAAGGTAGCAGCATATAAAATTAATATAATTTATAACGAATATAATAAATAGTATATTAATCATAGCTTTCATACATCGAAACTAATCAGAAAGAAGTAAAAATAGGGTCTTCCATATAGCTATGAAAAGGAAGAACAAAATTCTGGAAATAAACTTAGAAATGTATAAAACTGATATGAAGAAAATAAAATACTACTGAAAAAACAAAAGTAACCTGAATTAATAATATAAAGGTGTATTTTGTTTAAAGATAGTAAACTCCGATTTCACGAAGTTACTCCTATAAAACTAACCGTGCCTTGCCCCCCCGCCAAAAAAAACCAACAGGCAAGCTGGTTGATGGGAAAAAAACCAAACTATAGAATAGACAGAAAAGCCATGAAAAAAAAAAAAGGCGAGTGTGTGTGTGTGTGTGGCGGGGAGTGAATGGATGGAGAGAGTGATGATGTTTAACCCTACTACATATCATAACATACTATAAAAAGTCTCAGTAATTAAAAATGAGTATACCTTTTAAACAAACAATAAAACAAAATAGAAAGTCCAGAAATCAATCAAATTTAGATATATTTTAGGGAAAAGTTGGGTTTTTCAATAAATGATACAACTGGTACAACTGAATAGCTATCTGGAAAAATAAAGACTGATCTACATTTCATACCATTTATCAAGATAAACTCCAAATGGCTAAAACAAAAGCAAAACAGCTAACCACAAAATCATGGACAATGTTAGAAGACAAAAGACAATAAGGAAAAGTATTGGGTCTTTGGAAAAGTCATGATGTATTTTGTCTATGTTTTTCAAAGGTCATTTATCTATATAAAGAACAAAGATCAATCAATGATATAGTGCCCGTTTTGTTTGATAACCTTTTGCCATCTTTCAGTGAGCTTCGTAATTCCTCGTTCATAGAAGGACCTGCCTTTATTTGCGAAAAACTGAACAAGGTGCTGATTTACAGCTTCATCTGAATTGAACGTTATACCACACAAGGAGTTTTGAAGAGAGCGAAACAAGTGGAAGTGTGACGGCGCAAGGTCAGGCGAGTATGGTGGGTGTGGCAACACATCCCATCCAAGCTCCAGTAATTTTTGACAGGTGATCAAACTGTGTGTGGCCTCGCGTTGTTGCGATGGAACACAACTCCTTTGCAATTAACAAGCTCTGGACGTTTCTGGATGACGGATTCATTCAAACTGTCCAATTGCTGACAGTATACATTTGAATTGATTGTTTGGTTCCTTGGTAGGAGCTCGAAAAACATGACACCTTTAAAATCCCACCACACTGAGAGCATAACCTTCCTCTGATGAATGCCTGCTTTCGATGTTGTTTGAGGTGAATCATCATGTCAAGACCAAGACCGTTTGAGCACCACATTGTTGTCAGCAATCC